CTGACTCCGGGCAGCCACAGCCTCCTCCGCTCCGCACTCCGGGTACTCGCGCTGTGTCTCCATCCTCCCCGCAGGAGGACCTTTAAATAGCAACGTCAGCGCGCTCCTCTCCGCACACACGTCACCCTCCGCTCACGTCACCCTGTGCGGGGGATGATGTCACGCGGCCGGAAGTACTGCTAAATTAGGGAAAGAGCAGGGGGGAGGAGGGCTGGGCCAGCTGCTGTGTGCCCACCTGCTCTCGCTTCTTAAAGGCCAAAGCGCCTGAGACAGTCGGAGGAGAGCTTGGAGAAGGAAGCGGCAGGAGGAGGTTTCCTTGACACAAATGTGCCAAACGCGAGTGAATCACTCTTAGCAACAGTGCCGAAGTGTCGCCGGTAATGTCCTGTCTCCCTCTCCCACTGGGTTTGCAGCAGCATCCCTGGGCTGCTAACATTCCAACCTGCAGAGAAACGTGGGAGGGAGAGTGATCACTACTGGTAGACTTGGGGGAAATCACCGTTAATTTTAGGAGTCCTGAATACCATTCTGAACATAGATAACTTTTAAACTCCCCCTCCCTCCATGGCATGGACTTTTTTTTTTTTTAAGTGGAGTTAAGAACAAACCTCTTACAAACGTTAAATTAAATTAAGGCAGAGGGGGATTCTAAATGTTGCGGTTCACAACATAAGCATGGTTCGGCATGGCATAATGAGTCAAATTCATTAAAGTAAAACTTAGATCCCTCAGATAATTATCGTTCTGCAGCATCGCAAATGCTAATGAATCCCTTCAGTTCTGACCTACCAAGAATATCAATTACAGTCTGGATGCAAAGGTCTGTCACCCAATCCTTTTAATTAACAAACATACATTAAGGTTACATTTTTGAGTCTTGTAACCACAATAACTCTCAAGTACATTTACATTTTCTATATGGCAAGGATGATTAACCATCCATAATTTTATAGCTATATACGTGAAAATCGTGTTTTTAAAATCATACAGTTTTAAAGTGGTCTCATTATCCTAAGATAGCCATTTATTAGGTCGATTCACAGGCTGGACTTAACTTTTATTTGATTTAATTTGACAATCATGGCCCAGAAATAGAATTGCTGCATACTGCTAAGGGCCATTATTTCAGTTACTTTATAAATTCAGTGACCATATTTTACAAACTGAAGTCATTTGACATTAAACAGATTATTCAAAATCTGAAGTGGCCTGGAAAATCCAGGACATAATAGTATTACCAAATCATGAAGTTGTCCTTAGAAAAATAATAAATCAATACCAATGCAGTTCAAAATAAAATGAGCTAAAACTCTATAGACTCAGCCAGGACTAGTTTTGCTTGTTTGTTTGTTTGTTTGTTTGTTTTTGTTTTGATTAAGACAGGGTCTCAGTAATTTAGCCCAAGATGACTTAAGATTCGGAGTCTCCCTTGAGCAATGCAATTGCAGGAGTGTCACATGCTTGCCTGCTACATGTGGATTTTGAGACATGTTTTTAATGTTAACACTTAATTCTGAATTAAGGAACAATGATTTTACATTTTTTTTTTGCATTGACATTTTCTTGCTTTAGCTTGGAACCCAAGATTAAAGGAAATCAGCAAAAACTGATAGGACAAATTTGCAACTGATCACTGCCTGGTCATTTATCTTCACATTATAAAACTGTGATCTTGCTTTACTTTGAAATTTTAAGAACTCTGGGAGCTTTTTTTCTTTTTTTCTCACAGGTATGTATTTGTTATGTGTGTGTGTGTGTGTGTGTGTGTGTGTGTGTGCATGTGCATGTATTTGTGTATGCTAGCACATGTGTGCATGACAAGAGTAGAGGCCAGAGGTTTACTGTCAGGAATCTTCCTTGATTGATGTCTCTCTCTCTCTCTCTCTCTCTCTCTCTCTCTCTCTCTCTCTCTCTCTCTCTCTCTCTCCTAAACTCAGAGCTTGTCGGTAGATTTAATCTAATTAGCCAGCTTACTCTGAACATCCAGTCTTTGCCTTTCCAGTGCTGAAATTACAGATGGAATGTCATCCTACCCAGCACATACATGGATGTTGGGGACCCCAACTCTCATCTTCACACTTGTGTGGTAACTAAGGGGTACTGGTTTTGTAAGCATTATAATGAAAGGCTAATGAAAAGCAAGTATCTGCTTGCCGGTTTGTCTGATATGTATTATCATCATACTTACAGAAACTGGTATATTTCAGATAAATTGAGTTTTTTACTTAAATATAAAATACCAAAACAATGAAACTGCAATTCTTCAAATAATGTTGTTGTTGTTTGTTTGTTTGTTTGGATTTTTGAGACAGTTTCTCTGTGTAGCTTTGGAGCCTATCCTGGCATTCACTCTGGAGACCAGGCTGGCCTGGAACTCACAGAGATCCGCCTGCCTCTGCCTCCCAAGTGTTGGGATTAAAGGCAAGTGCCACCAACGCCCGGCTATAATGCCATCTTTTGATCCCTGCAGATTAAAATGTAAATTGTTATTACTCTCTAAAATGCAAAAAAAAAATTCTTTAAAAACCACTTCCCTTCTAAACCAATTTTCTCTTTCTGGGTGGATCCTTCCGTATTAATTAACTCTTATTTTGGCATTTTCAAACACTTCTTTCAAGCTTATGATTACAACTTCCTCCCATTTGTATTCTTTATTGAACTGATTTTTACCCAACTGCCAAGACAGTTTGTCAGCTGCTTCTGTGCCTTTAGAATACCAGCCCTTCCTCACTGTCTGCTTTTCACCAGGGCAGGGTTTCTTCTCAGCTGCCTCTTGTCAGTTCAAAGAGAGCAACTTTTTTGTACATGAATATTATGGTTCAGTGTGATATAATTACTCAAAGTGTATGTGACTATGTCAGCCTCATATTCTAGTAAATTTGCTAGAGTTGGCCAATTTTTTTTCTTTCCCATTTGTGTGTGATTCACATATCAGGAAGTAGTTGTATGCATACAATGTATATATCCAAAGGTGTAAGTAAAACCTTGAAACACGATATGAGACATTCTCAGAAAAATAAATGCTGTTCTTCCGTACTTTGAAATAATTCCTGTACATCTTTGAGAGGAGTCAGAGAACTATTATAGGACTTTTCATCTATCAGTAAATATCTTTCCCCCTAAAATGAGCTGTTATACCATAAATTCCAGTTCATGGGGGGTTTTGTTTGTTTGTTTTGTTTTTTAAGTACTGAACTTCCTAGAAAGGAATGAATTTCTCTCACAGGAAGTGGAAGAAAGTACTTCAGTAGCATTTCAGTTTTTTAACAGTTCCTGTTTCCCACTATGCTCTCAAATTTGTGGGGCGGTTTATGAATACCCTCTGATTTTAGAATCTGTGGGCGAAGGCATCTGTTTCAGTTTCTGAGTTTACTTCCATGCCCTTAGCAGGAGATGGTAGCCTCCAATGGGATGTTCATAGATGTGTCATGCGATGGGTCTTTTTTAATGAAAAGTCATTCATAAGCTAGAAAAATTGCAGAAAAGGGAGTTAAAGCCAGAATTTATTTTTAATTGACTAACATTAGGTAATAGAAAATCCCTTTGGAGTATCCTATTTTGAATCACAAAATACCACAGACTTCAAATAAAGTCATAAGCAGAAATAATACATAGATAGCTCCCCAGCAATAGAAATCCCACTAGCTTAAGACAAATAATTATTAAGAAACTAAGTAGCCCTCAAAGACTAAAAGTCATGAAAAAGTAAAATTTTTTTTCTAGTGGATGCTAAAAGTCTCAGTCCACATGCTCCATGATTTAGCACACCCAGGCCATCATTAACTTGAGTTGGCTTGTATAAAGCCATCCTTATTTTTATTACGAGGCTTGTTCTTGATAGAAATAGGGTAGTTGAAAAGTCTTTTCAAAGGACTCTCAATTTAAAGTATAAAACAGCCTCAAGAGTGGGAATATAGGTGTTTGGCTTCTCCAGGGCAAAGTCTTCAGGACAGATTTACTCATCTGAGAGTATCCATACTTGTTCCCACCCCACCCCACCCCCATTAAATAGAGTGGTTTGTGAGTTGTAGAGGGAGAGAGATTGAAGAATTTCCCATAGGAAAACTATGCTACAGAACATGGGAAATAAATCTCATGGCACTCCCCCTGCCTCGATTTTTATTGTAATCTCATTGCTGATTTTCCAATTATGGAAGTAAAATGCACTACTACGCTTGAAAAAGAAGATTCCAAAAGATTTACAGTCAGGTGCTGTTGAGTGCCTGAATAGAAGAGAGGAATTGATAATAATAATCCCACAATTAGAGGAAATCGATATGCAGTCTTTTTTTTTTTTAACATCCATGGGATATAGTGCCTTTCAAAAATTATCTGGTTTAACTTAGTTTTGTTGGACGTTTTAAGCAGCA